CTTGTCACACGTAGCACACACATGGCTTGAGGCAGAACGCAAAAATGTATCATTTTCCTGCCACAGCGATAACTGTAGAGTAGACAAGCTCTTCGTACGTACCTGAGTTGAATGGACGATATAATCTCGACGGATTAAACCGAAATAGTAACGTAGAAAGATGACCAGAAACCGGAGAAACCTCTGCCACCACGACACGTCTTGTGCACGGTACGGAAGGTTAGGGAATGAGCTCCGCGGAGCTGGAATTTTTAATGAGGCAAAGAGGAGGGAGTTTCTTGTTTCTCGTGACTCCGCGGAGTTTCGGACTTTCCGCGGAGTTTGCATTGCGACGGAAATTTCCCGTGTGCCAGAAAAGGTTCTCTTCCACACCTCTTTGTAGACTGAAAAATTGAAGAAATTCTTCAAAAGATGGCGCTATGTATTCAATGGTATGCCACAGAAAATTATATATAATCAGATTTGGAGGGGGTCCGCATTTTGCGGGGTAGCTAGGCCTTTTTAGCCTTCCTAATCCGTAGGCAACCGATATAAAAATAACAAGCTAATATTGGAAGGTAATCCGATCAATATATATATTTATATTTCTGTACAATTTTGTCGTATGATTTTGCACAATATTTCCCTAACTTCTGCTTGGAGAGAACCTATCATGTGACGTTGACCTGTGGCATGATGTTTCCCTACGTGGCGTGACTAGGCACACATGGTTATGTGAAGGTCAGTCAGGCCTCAACAACCCATGGCGTAAACAGCTTGGTATCTATCAGGTCAGTCATAAATAAATCTTCACATAAGTTTCAGAAGATCACAGCATTACATTTGGAATGTCAAGAAAAACACTTCATAAGTACCAGGGTTGGACAAGTTTTCAAAAATCCACTTGCCTTATCGGGCAAGTACCTGGTCATTTCCACTTGCCCGAACCAACTTTTTACTTGCCCAAAATATGACACATTTCTAAGCATTTTACTACCAGAAAGAGTTTATAATGTTGGATGCTTTATTCATCAAAATTGTTTAAAACTTAGTATTACACTCACATGACAAAAAGAACCTTTATTAAAAAAAGAAAATGGCTTGAACAAACAATATTAACGTGAAAAAATCGTAAGAAAGGCAGCTATTACACTGTAATACCTCATACTGTACATATGTACTTCAAAACCAAAGATATGGCTCTAAATATAATAAGTACCTGTTGGCTCTATTAATATAAAATATATTGGATATAGTATGTAGTAAATAACATATTAACTAACGCTACTTGATCCATTTTGAAAAACCGACACTAATTCCATTATGTATGGCAAAACAACAGGAGAAAATAGTATGCAATTCTAAAATAAAATCCTAAATCATCTCTACAGTCTAACAAGATAATCAATATAAAAATGACAAGCTAACATTGGACAGTAATCCATCTAGGAACAGAAAAGCTCTGTAACAAAAGGTTAGATAAGGCTGGATATACATGTAGTACTTTGCATACTCATTTTCTTCTATTCTATATCAGTGCGTATGCCAGGGGGATGCTACAATCCAGATGTACCATGTACATATGGTAATGTTTTCAAAGAACCAAAAATGAAAACATTCTGAAAGTTTCAACAATCACTGTTTGTTGTACATCGTGAGTTCCTTTCTGATTTCTCCAACACGCTGATTCCTCACTTTCACAATTTAGTCTTGTAGAACATGAATCACGTTTGCCAATCCAAGAAATTCTTTCAATTTTCCTCTATGGTGTCACATGGTCCATCTTTTTCCCCCAGTA